CCGCCGGGTACCGCAGGGTCTCGTCGCTCAGCGAGGCGGCGCTGGAGAAGTTGACGGGGGTCCCGTCGGCCGAGTCGGTGAAGGAGTCGTCGTCTTTGAAGAGGTCGCGGGCGGTGGCTCGCAGGTGTTTGGGGACGCCGGGGTGGGCGTGGGCCGGCACCAGCATGTACACGGGGACGTGCAGCGGCTTCTTGGTCTGCGGGTGCAGCACCTGGCCGGACAGCAGCGAGGTCTTGACCTTGCGGAAGCGGGAGGGCATGGCCGAGCTGATGCACTCCTTGAGGATCTCGATGTCATCGTCATCGGGGGGCTCGGGGTGCTCGGCCCTTCGCCGGCCCTCCAGGTACCGCTCCTCCCGCCGCTCCTCCCGCTTCTCGTGAGCCGCGAAGTTCAGGCTGTTCTTCTCCGGGAAGGTGGGAATCAGCTTGAGCTCCACGTCCTTCTGCACGTAGTGCTCGTGGAGGGGCAGGGCGCTCAGGCTGGAGGCGCACGAGAAGTTCTCGTTGGGTTTCTCCACCGTGAAGTAGACCATGGAGTCCAGGTCCTGGGGCAGCTGGAAGCGTTCCTTGAAGTCGGTGATCTCCATGAACTTCTTGACGTTGTTCTCCCACTGGATGTTGAACTGGCTGGTCTCCTTCTCCGGCTGGCAGCCCAGCTCGAAGAGGGGAGTCTTGCTGCGGCTGGGGGGCATGGTCTGCCCGGGGCTGTCGGGCAGCTCGCTGGGGCTGATGGTGCCGCTGATCATTTCACTGCACGGGTCGCTCTGGATGGAGCTGGCGATGGAGGGGCTCTCGAAGCTGCCCAGGGAGCTGACGGAGCTGCAGCGGCTCATCACCAGCGGCGTCTCCTGGATGTAATTCTCCGAGGAGCTCGAGGGCGTCAGGTCCTCCTGGCGCGAGGGCGAGGCCTCCCGCAGGAAAACCTTGTCGCGCTTCGGGAAGGGGATGGTGATGGGCTGGGAGATCCCCACCGGTGTGGTGGGACCAGGATCCTTCTCCTTCTCCTGCCTCCCATCCTCCCCTTCTGCCTCCCCTTCCTCCATCTCCAGGATCTCCAGGGAGGAGTCGCTGTCCAGGTCGTTCTCGCTGTGGCTCTGCCCATCCAGCACGTTGTCTGCCGAGGAGAGGGAGGACAAGGAGCTGCACCGGGAGAAGCAGATTGGGGTGTCCTCCACCGAGTACTTCTGCACCGACTCCTGCTCCGCCGAGGCCGGTGGCTGGGCCGGCAGCTTCTCCGGGATCTTGCTCAGGGGCTCGGCCGCCTGCAGCAGCGCCGGGGGGAGCCAGGCTTGCTTCCTGCCCAGGAGGGAGGGCTGGTGGCCAGCAGCCGTGCTGCTCTTGGCCAGGGTCTCAAGCATGGGCACATGCTGGTAGGACGGAGAGAGCTTGATGGTGCGAACATGAGGGTCGGTGGGGGGCTTGGTGCCCACCTCCTTCGTCCACTCCATCTCCTTCTCCGGCACCTTGGGGCTGGGGAAAGTCACCACCTTCTTGGCCCGTTCGGGCAGGTCCCGCTGCTCGGGTTTGTCCTGCTCGGCCGGGTCCCGCGCGGGGGGCTCGGCCCGCTCCGGTTTGCCCAGGATGCTCTTGAGGTCGAGCCGGCTGGGCCGCTTCTGGTAGCGCTGCAGCTCGTCACGATAGTCCAGGAAGGCAGCCCTGGGGCAGGGCTTCATGTGCTCCTTGGTGCAGTAGCCGTCGCTGGTGCTGCCGCTGTTGAGGCTGTCGGTGCTCAGGCTGGTGCAGGCCGTCTTCAGCCGCAGCAGGGTGTGCGCCCGGCTC